CAGAAACTCCAAAACACCTTTCCGCTCGTCCAGTGCTTGGGAGGCTGCACTTAGCAAGGCCTGCGACTGGACCAAGCAAAATATGGTACCCTCTGGTTATGTCAAAATAGCTATTGAAAATGGCCATTTATAGTGAGTTTTCCCATTAAAAATGGTGATTTTCCATAGTTATGTCAGGAAAAACCAGAGGGTAAATCTATGGGAGATTCAACTGAGGAAGATATGAACAACCTGATGATATCCAACTGATAGTAAATCTATGAACCAACTGATGATTACTTGGATATTCAATATCAAGATATTTAAGATCTATGAACCAACTGATGATATCCTCAGCCATCTCTCAAATTTCCCATATAAAACTATATGATACAGCCATCACCAGTTATTCAACTAATATTTATCAATATTAACTAAATAATTTCTCTTATAGCTACTGTTGATATACTATCTGCCATCACCAACCACTGGGAATCTGGGACATCCACCAGTTTTGTGGCGAAAAGAAAACGGCAGACCTCCTCCTCTTCTCGTCCGGCTTCCAGCCAATTGTCCTCTAAGAGTCGCCTGGGTTGAAACAAAGCCATTTGCACCCCCAGTCATCACCATTCTTATAGGCTACTTACCCTCTGGTAATTTAACATAGCTATTGAAAATGGTGATTTATAGTGGATTTACCCATAAAAAATTGTGATTTTCCATAGTTATGTTAGTTTACCAGAGGGTATAGATCATATAATAGTAGAACCATTCTCTCATTTTTGGCTGGTCAGTGGTGTTGTTCTACAGATATGACATATTTTGGTCTCTCAAGGCATCAGTCGCATCCCCATCCCAAGACATGCCAGGACTCACAAGACCTCAGCGTCACAGCAGAACGCACGTTGAGTATTGGATTTCTTGATGCTTGGGGCTTGGAGGTCTTTCATATTTGGGAGGTTGGATTACCAGCAAAAATTGTTTCTCTGCTGAAATGGTCAGGCTGGTCAGGCTTCGCACACTTCCTGCGTTTCCAGGGTCCTGTTAACACATAAATGGACGTGGAGTTTTCAAAATGTCCAACCGTGTTTTCTTCCCCGAACGAAAGAAGCAGGTTTGCACCCCAGTCATTGCAGATGTCGGTCTACATCAGATTTCGGTCATCTCCAGACATTTTCTTGATTAGTCCAGACTGTTGGCTGCTGTTGTATCCAGAGTGTTCCAAAAAATACATTCTTTATCCAGGTTTGACCCCTTGTTGCTGGTGATCTTCTCATTTTCCTGCAAATTAGCGTATAGATTCACAGGGGCAAACTGAATAAGCTTGTTTATCTATAGTGGCTAATAGAACAGCTGCAAAATAGTTTAAATTACCATATGACGCCATATAAAAAAGGACAGTAGTGATATATTGTTTCTAACAGTAGTGATGTATTGTTTCTAACAGAGCCATTGATGGTGTCAAATTCTTCCTGAACATCTTGTCCTCCCTGAAACCGAAAAATCAGCGCAGCCCGGCCAGCGGAAAGGGTGCGGTGGCTGCCACACATCGTCGCCGCGTCTGAAGCACCGAAGGGGTCGTTTCTCAATGGATCGGTTTTTTTGGGAAAATCGCCGGAAACCATCGATTTTTCCCATGAAATATGGGGGTTTTCCGGTTAAAAGTTTCCCTTAAACCAATCCATTGAAATGTTGATTGCGGCAGCAAACTTGAATTTTGAATGCTTTCACTAGAAAATCAATGGTTGACCAATAAAAAAAAGATTAACGCCTAATCAAGGAAAACGGCTTTGACCCTGAAAAGTATCGGGCCCAATGACAATCCGGAAAAGTGGCTGAGATTTCAAATTGTGGTAAATCTCATATTTCTAGGGGTCTCATCCCATCTAAAGATATGTGTGTTTGTTGTGATGGCTGTTATCCACATACATGCCCATGGAAAATCACCCATTTATAAATGATGTTCTCATCAGACCCTCCATTTATAGTGGATGTCAAAGCCAGCCGTATTGATTACCAGAGGGTAACATACTACCAGAATCGTCATTGTTGGGTCCAGAGACCAATATGTATCCATATGTATGTATAATTTCTGAATTATAATTATCATGGTATATACCAAGCCCAATGTAGATCTATCATTCACACGCCATGTAGGAAAAGCAGATAATGGACTGATTCACAAGCCATGTAGAAAACCATTCGGACCCATGCAACAATCCCAACGTTGGGACATCGGTCCTGGGTGAGGACCATCAGTTCTTGCGAGGTCCAGTTTTTGGCAGGACCTGGCGTCGGTTTTTGTAACCTGTTGAGAGACACATGTCTGACCTGATCTAATATGATGTTTTTCTAGTTTATGTCTGTCTGAATTCGAATTCCTTAGATGTAGCTGCTATTCAAACAAACCTTAGATATCTTCGATGTAGCTGCTAAAAGGCACCATTGAAATAACCATGTTTTATGGGGCTTCCCCGGTCCCAGCTCCGAAAAACATCCAACATGCAGCTCTCAGCGCCCACTGCCCTGCACCTGTGCTACTCTGCAAGTCCTACGCTGAGAGGGCATGAGTCAAACATTCGAAGTTCATTGGGTAAACCTTCCAGTATTCATTTCTTCATATGTTTGACAAAACTGTAGATGTAATGGGGCCTTGAGTCCCAGGAAACATTGGCTGCAACCTTTTGCTTGGATTTCAACACCCAAAAACAACCTGAAGCAACTCTCATTATCCCAGAAGGGATAAAGAACATGTTAAAAAAGCGTTTGGTTGGACACCTTCGCTCCATTTCAGGATATCTTCGAACGTATACAGTAAACTTCTCAAATTACCCTAAACTTCTCAAATTACCCTCTGGATGCTCCCAACTCAGCAGCTTTATATAGGTGTCTCACCAGACCTCATGCCACACAATCAAAGAACGTATTCTGCAAAAAAGAGAAATGTCGGTCAAAATCCAATTTGTCTCCCTTCAAATCCCCAAAATTCAGTGGGTATAGTAGCCCTATGTTCGAAGGTAAACCTCCCATTATCAGCCACCATTACCCAATGAAAACATGTAAAAACAATATGTATCCTTCGGCAGAGTCACATAGACACGGAAAATCCACCATTTGTAGTTGATTAAATCAAATTGTGTCCCATCAAATGTCACTGTTTGTCATGACATATCCCCATTTGTGTTGGTTAGATTAGATACGTAGCTACGTAGCTTTTCCGAAGACTACTTGACTCTTGAGTCATTGTCAGGAGATATCCAGTAGAATTCCACAAAGAAAACACCCATACAATCCCGTTGAATCTCAATGTATGTTGATTTTCTCAGGTATCTGTACAGCGTCTATATATCCCATGAAATCCCCATCGAATCCCGTGAAATCACCCACAAAATCCCACCATTCAATCCCATAAAAAATCCACTCAAATCGCCATTGAAATCGCCATGAAAAAATCACCATCACCATGAAATCACCATGAAATCACCATGAAATCACCATGAAATCACCATGAAATCACCATGAAATCACCATGAAATCACCATGAAACCCTTCTCTGGAGACCAACTCCATGTGAACTCTGCGAGGCTCCAGGTTTGCAAAGGAGGCCCAGAAGTGACGGATCTGCTCCGCTCCCAGAGCCTGAAAAAAGCATTGGGAACATCTGGAAATCATCGCTTTTTACCAATGAAATACAGGTTATATTCTTCAATGGGATGATATTATGGACTCCTGAATGGATAAATCGGAGAATCTATAGGTGAAAATATAGGCTTTTTCCATTTATAAACCATAGTTATAACCATAGGTGGTTCAGCCGTTTGGATCTAAAAAGTGATAAGCCACTGGGACGAAACCGATCACCAGGGTGTCACGTTGAAAAAAAACACTTAAAGGATTCGTAGAGGACGATTATTAATGGGAAACGGAAAACATCTAAGAACGACCATCCTTTGTTCGACACGTCGAAAGGCATCTTTTCAGGGGTATTTGAGGCGAAAATCGGAAATCATGGTTTTTTTTCAACCATGAAATACTGGGTTTTCCAGTCTTCATGTTCCCTTCAGCCAATTCTAGGAGTATTTGGATGTCTATGTGGATACTATTGGGATGAATCATGGAGAAGGGAATGAATGATAGGGAATCGTGGACTCTTAGGATCACGGACCATTTGATAGAATAATGGCTTACAGATGCTTACAGTTATATATTATCTGGTTGGTGGTTTGAACCCCTCTGAAAAATATGAGTCAGTTGGGATTATTATTACATATATGGAAAAATAAAAAATGTTCCAAACCAGCAACCAGTTATATTAACTATAAGTGGCTAGTATGATGATGTTAAACGTTGATTTTCGAATTTTTCGATGACAAAACCATGGCGTTTTTATTCTCTGCGTTGATTTTGGATGTCACAGATGAGAGAAGATCCGTTGAACTCCACTGCTCAACTCAACAGGGCAGAAAAAAAGTGTGTGGTCTATTTCCGCTGACAGCCAGAACACGTGGCCATGAAAGGAATGGAACACCAATTAGACTTCCCAGACCCTGCATCAGTGCTCTTTCTTAGTGCTTCAAAATCAGTTAAAACAATCAAACAATCAATCAAACAATCAAACAGAAAGTCGCCCAACCTCTCAGCTAGAAACCCATCAGTTTCTCTCCGCTAAAATCCTTCAAATCTATCAAATAGAACCCAGTAGCTATTATTTGACAAGTTGTTAAAACCTACCATACCATATTTTGGGGCTACAGAAACATCCATAAATCCCAGCTATATCGCGGTGAACAGCGGAGAACCATGGCGAACTGACCCAGTCAATGATGCCGTCGTGCCATCGGTGGTTTGTGTTAGAATTGGCTGCCCAAAAAAAATGGATCGTTGAATCATGGTTCAAATCATGGTTCAAATCATTTGAATGGATAATTAGATATAATTAGTGTTTTGTGATTTGAATCATGGTTCATCATTTTCCCATTCAAATCACCAATGATTCAATGATCGATATCGGGATCTCCCCCATTTGATCCCATTTTCAGACACACAAAAGGCGATCCGGCGATCGATACACGGCCCGTTTCGTCGCGTTTTTCGCCAGCTTTGCTTTGCGCATGATCCAAATGAGGTTCGTGGCCCCGGCTTGCGCCCGCGCAATGCGCAGGTCGATGGGGTTCTCGTAGCCAAACTGCAGATTGTGCTGCTCCACGAAGCGATCCACATCCTACAGGGAGGGAGGGAAGAAGGGGAAAAGACCCAAAAAACACATCAGAAAACCATCACCAGGTCTTTTCCCAATTCTTATTTCACAAAAAAGCTGGGCTATTCATCAGGTCAACATCATGACTCACATCCCTCAAAGAACTGGCCCGAACTGCTCCTTCTTCACAGCTGGCCAACCATAGTCATCTCCAAAGAGAATACCTCCAGGCTCCAGCAAGTTGAAGTACAGCGAGAGTTCCTAGGAACAGAATCCAACATGGCTGCCTTGGTGACCCCACTCGACCCCCGGGCGAAGTCAACTGGGCCAGTACCATGGATAAACACAGTGTGACACAAAAAGATCTTGGAACTGCAAGATAGTCTACTTAGTCTACTTATAATTTGGAACTTAAGCTCAAAATAGCTCCCCTTTTTTGACATCACTTAGGTGCGTCCGGAAAATGTGTGGATAAAACCAACAAAAAACCAACACAAGAACGGTTTATCAAGGGTTTGTCAGTTCAAAAACCTCATTTTTCACCAGGAAAAAACAAACCCATTTGGATCCGATACATCGAAAAGTAAGATTTCCGCTATCCAGGGGGAAAAACATGTGGCTTGTTAAAATGACTAGTCAAAGAGGTAACATGACTCCCGTTTGTTGCGTTAGTGGCTATGATTTACTTCAAAAAAGGCTTAGAGCAACACTGCATAGGCAAAACAAGATGGGGGATAACCATTGGCATTCCCCCCCATTCCTCCCCCAGTCGAGGTACCAGGTAGGTTTCGTCCAACTCATGCGCAGAATCCAAGAAAATCCTGGGATGATCGGAGGTCGTTTCAAGCTGAAAATGTGTCAAAATCAGCAGGAACAAAAAAAACTTTATATGGTTTAACAGGGATAATAGCTGGATAATGTTTGATAATAATTGATAATGACTGATACTAATTGATAATCTCCCGAAATAGAGACTATCATGTGGTTGGGCACTCTCTTCGTAGCTCCCAACGGCTCCTTTTTGTTGGGATGGATGTCTAGAACTCCGAACCGCTCCCTAAGCAGAAAAAATGATACCCCAGGATATCTCCAAGTTGGAAATTTGACAATCGGCCTGGATTGGGATCAGGACTCCATGGTTTGGATCTTTCGTTTCACTGGTCGGAATCATCGGGAGTGGTGCAACACCATCTCATCCGATGATCCGATAGAGATGGCAGCCAGAATGGTTCTCAAAATGGATCAAAAGCTAAGCTTCATTCATCCTGTTGAGTTGAAAAGTCAAGGTGCTACTTCATCATGGGTCGATAATTTTAATCACAAGAAATCACCTGCTTGCTCAGGATTAGGCTACGAAACTTGCTCCTTGAAACCTCATATGAAATAGCAGAGCCATCTGGTCACTCTTGCTCTCAGACTTTCGGTTGGTACCCTCCTCCCCTCAACCATGGTGATGGGCAATGGGAAATCCCCATTGTTTATAAGAAAAGCATCTTAGAAAATATCATTGGGGGATGCCCAAAACCATGGGTTTTTCATGCTAAAATATTCTAAAATACTCAAATGACTTGGATGATCTTGAGATGCCCTGACTTTGGAAACCCCCTGACTTTGCATTGCCACAGTGGATCAATCCCACGTTCACATCGAAAACCACGTCACAAATCTGGCGCAAAGCCTTTCTGCACCAGCCAGCGGGCTCCCACAGTGGAAGTTGCCTCCAACTTTTCGCCCAGTTCGAAAAGTGTGACATGCGCAGTTTTTTACGCAACAGACGGGGGGTTCTTGAAATGAGGGATCCTCAAAACCACACCATGTCAAGGCTAAAACAGTCATCCATTTTCCTCCTGGATGATAACTGGTTCCCCATGACTTTGCAAACCTCCACATGTCGTTGTCCAGATCATCAAGAATTCCTGGCATCCTCAAGCAATCCCGGGCAGTCCAGGCCTGAAATGGCAGGATGTGGTGTTTCGAGACCTGCACATATCATGCGACACTGAAAGGAAACCTGTGACAGGACCCATGTTTTTACCAGGCGCTTCCACTCAGAATTCCGCTCTGTCATGCCCTGCAAACACTGAATCAAAGGGACATACCCTCTGGTAAACTAACATAACCATGGAAAATCACCATCTTTAATGGGTAAATCAACTATAAATGGCAATTTTCAATAGCTATGTTAAATTACCGGAGGGTATGTTTTTTTCGGCCGCACACTGCGATTCACGGCAAACTGCACGTTGGCCATGAACTGATCGAAGACGGTCATGCGGCCATCGATGATGTTCCTGGCGTTTTTTTGGGGGTCATCCCGTCCCACGATGATCCCCGAGGTGGCAGCATGCTGAACACCGGTTGTTACTGTTGGATATCACAACCATGGTCCAATGGTACAACCAAAGACAGAGGCAACTAGTTTGGTCAGAGACAGGGATCAGACATCCCCACCTGGGGACTGGAGAATTGGGGTATCGAAAAATGTCTCGAATCCGCAGTGTCCTCTGCTCCAAATTTTGACCCATTTTGACCCAGGGAACATGTCCGCCCACTGATCCTCTGGCTGAATTATGCTGAGAAATCAGGCCATTTGTCTGTTCAAAACCCGCAACGTCACCACTTCATACTGACTGGTAATATGATTTCCCAGTTCATGGATGATTCATAAATTTTGTGATACTCCCCAATATATTGGATCGAACTCCATATAATTATAGGGGTTACAACCCTGGTTACCGGAGGGTATATCCATTTCTAACCACAGCTGCACCCAGAAGTAGATCAATAGTATCTCGCAACCAGGAACTTCACCCTGCCCACAGCCAGGGGACACCCAGCCGCCGACACTTTGGTCTTGTTGATAGCCTGAAATTTTGCAGATGGCAGATAGCCAACGAACATCCCCAATCGATTCTCAAGATGCTGGATTAATTGAAGGTAACTCAAACAAGTAAATAAAGAATCCTTAAAAAGAACGTTCAAAAAAAAACGTAAAAAAAAAAAAAAAAACAATTCTGGATATAAAAATGGATCATTTACCAATTGAAAAATGCCGAAAATGGATATTTACCGATTGAAAAATGCCAAGGAACTCGCCCACATGTTGGTATCTCCGGTGAATGGATCAATGCAAAGGATGGGCACCTGCGATCGCCAGCGATAGTTTTGGCTTGAGACTAACCAGGATTCTAAACTCTGTATGTATTATATATATAGTATAGAATTTATTGTTATATGTATTGATATATATTGTTATTTATTGTTGTCCTCAAAAAGATAGACACAGAAATAATCACCCATTGGATAGCAGGTTTCACGATGGGTTTGTCCCAAGATGGGGTATCCCCTATAAAATCCCGTAGAACAACTACAATAGATTACAATGTTCGCTATTAAAGAGGGACAACCCCACATGACCAACTCGTTTCCAAGGCTGGCCACGCGGCTATTCCTTCCAGGGATAGTTGGGCCGAAATCTGTCTTCTGGAGTCATCAAAATTGGTACCAAAAGCAAGTTGGAAACATCATCTATTGGACCAACAATTCTGGGTAACCACCACAGAAATGGCCATTGTTTGATGGGAAATTCATGTTCTGAACTCTAAGCCATCAATGTGTGTTTCTTTAAAAGAAACACCAACCAACAACACACTTAAGCAAAATCAGATGTTTAAGACTTTAGGGATTTTCATCCAAATTGGGGGGAATCTTCTATATATATATATCAACAGATGTTGATCAAAAGTGGTGGGGGTTGATTTTTAAAAAAAAATCAACTCATAAACATCAACTATATGATACATTTATCAACTATATATATATATACATTTATCAACCATATATATATACATTTATCAACCATATATATATATATATATACATTTATCAACTATATATATATACCAAGCTTCTCCTGGCCACTTTCCCACTTGGCTCTAAAACTTGCGGCCTCGGTCATCTGCAGCTTATCCAAGACCGTGGCCATCTGAATGGCCGAGTGTCCATGGAGCGAGCCCACCTCCACGATGAAGCGCGGCATGCCCTCCATGTGCAAAATGTCCTCCGGGATGGGATTTCATGAGGAATTTTTAATGGTTATGACTGTCATGGTTATTTTGCCGCTTTAAGGGGACGAATCAATGGGTAAGATCCAGATTCATGGGAATATGGATTATTCTTTGGTAATTTGTCAGAGTTTGCTTTTGAAATTGGCCCATTTTCCCATTTTGTTCGTTGATTTACCGGAAAAAAGATGGTGATTTTCCATAGCAAACTGCTAGTTTACCAGATGGTAACTGTAACCGCTGGGAACCAATCATGATGTGGATATTGAAATGTGGAAGATACCCAGTTGTAGCCTTATAGCTTGTCATGATCCGGCTACTAACCAAGGCACTTGAAATCCTCAGTGGCAAATGTACATATATATATACACATAGCTCCGCGGTGATATCCGTTAAGTCATCCAATCATCTGTGGGACCAGTATAGCTTCTTCTCCAATTACTATTTAATTGGGATGATTACGGACAGCCAGGACTTCTCTAGCGAAGTTTGAGTTTTCTTGGCAATCAGAAAGCTTGGGAATGACTCCATGACCTGTAATCTACTAAAACTTCCAAGACAAACATGGAAAAACATGGGAATGGCTTCTGGCATTTTTTTGCGAAATCAACGTGCATGAGCCCAACACCTTTATGGATGTCTCCAACCTTAATGATGTGTTTAGAATATCTTATGTTTTCATATGTTGTGGATGCATATGGCTATTTCAGCTGAATATGCTAGCATCTTCTACCAATGAAGGACTGCTTCCTCTACTGGGAAATATAATGTATTTGGGCAGAAAACCTTTACCCCAAAAAACATGCGAATGAATAAACAAAACGAAGAAGTAACAAACTGAAAGACAAAGCAGTTCTGGCGTTTCGGTGCCCGTTGGAACCACGGTGCCCCAGAACCACGGCCGCTCCAAAATTTCTGTGAAGAACTCCGGAAGGAGATTGGAGTGAGGATAGTTCTTGAAGTTTGGCCGTATGTCATACCTGCCATGGGATCCCAGGATCCGAAAGTCCGATCCAAACTTCCACCCGTGATTTGGCGAATGCCATGCCACGGAAAGAAAGTGATGGATTGGGGTTTCACCATGAGACCAGTTGCATTGGACCACTTCAGATGGCTATTCCCATGAAATCACCCTGAAATCCAACTAGATCATAGCATTTGACCCATCAGTTTCTTGGTTAAACCACAATGTTCGTTGCTGAATCCATGTGTCCGTAGTCTTTCTGACCCTAAAATCAACTTGCCATCTCTAAGAATCCCTGAATTTTGCTCAGCTCCTGTAACTTATACCCCAAATCCACTGCTTGACCATCATTTTCCCCATGAAATTTCATAACTAGTAAAAACCCTCCTCAGCCATAAGCCCAAATCCTGGAAATATGCAATTTATCATGTTTTTCTGATTTATGTCTGATTCAAACACGCGCCTCAGAAAAATTTCAGAAAAAACATTGCAAAAAATAAGAAACAAATCTGGCAATGTTGTTTTCTGAAGTGTTTCTGAAATATCTCTGAAACAAATCTGCTTTTGGAGAAAACGGACACGTTTTGGCAAGGAAAAGGACGAAAAAGGAGGAAAGCATTGGCAAAATGTGTTATATCTTTCTTAAAAACCTTGGGGAGCAGCCCCGGCAGCCTTGAAATCAACGATTCCCCGTAACTACCTATGAAATTCTTAATTTGTTCTGACTTTTTTCTCAAAATGTTCTGAATTAAATATGTCTGCAAAAATCTGATTTTGGAGAAAACCTTCACTGTTTCCACATTCTGAAACATTGCTGCAGGTATGACTGTCAACACAACAAGAAAACATGATCGTGGTATCACATTGCTGGGTACATCCAAGTCAAAAGGTAGGGGTCCAGAAATAGTTCAGAAAATAATGAGAAATATGTCAGAAACATTTCAAGAATATTTCAGACCCAGAATCAAACCAATTTGGGGTGTGAGAAAGAAATAGAAATGAATCAGAAATGAATTATTCTAGATATCTTTACTTTAGGCTGGATTTCACTCAGGCTGCTTTTCGGAAGGTTCCCCGGTTCCCCTGTTCGGTCCCCCATTTTCACCCCCGGGGCCACGGGTTGGAAAAGTTTTGCACCACATGGTGTATGTCAGGATCTTTGGCGAAGAGTTCCAAGTGCAACTCCTGGTTCCCCGTGACGCACCGGAGCTGCGGCCCCCGGACAGGTTCTTTTTTTCGGGAAATTTCGGGACAGTTGGATTGGATTGAATTTTCAATGGGATTTTTCCAATGTTTTTTCCAATGGGATTTACCGGGACATGGTGTGTTGAAAGGTGTTTTTCAATGGGAGTCCATAGGGGATTCTATCGGATTTCATGGGAATTTGAACCGTAAGCATCACTGATTTCACCAAATTTGGGGTGTCCCACCTCGCTGGTGCTGGCTGGGACCTCGCTGGTCAATGTTGATATTTGAATGAATCCAACTGCTGGGAAATAGATATAGAAAAGTCTGGGGCCATCTTTGCTATTAAATCTTGACAACTTTTCCTTGTTTTGAAAAATTTTGGTGTGAAATATATATGGAATTTCTGAGCTTTTCCCAACTGCTCATGGAAGATTCATCTTGCTTGCCTGGTTTTTGGGAGGTTCCCCACACTCAAAGAATGCTTCGAATTGGGGAGATGTGACAAAAGATTTTCTGGCACTGGGTTTGGATGGATTGATCGAAGGGAACAAAGAGGTTGAATCCCCTCCGATGATCAAACACGGCAACAATCATTAAAGGCTCCAGCTATAGTTCGGGGATTTCCCAGCTAGCCATGTTTGATTACTGGAGGGTACATCGGAAGATTGGATTTTCTGTAAACTTCTTCCTTCAAAAAATGGGGGAATCCAATTTTCGTCCAACATGAATAAGATCACATCAAAATTAGATTCCAAAATGAATAATTGTTCCAACAATATTCCAACATGTTTGTTTGGAGGGTATCTAATATTGAGTGAAAAAAAATGTTGGTTTGCACCAGTGTGTCATCCTAGTTTTTACATCCCGAATATGGAGACGAAGGCTTCCTACGCTTGAATGTCAGATTAGATTCTGTAAGATCATCAGTGCGGGTGTGCCAAGCAGAGTAGTAGCTATTTACCAGCTCTGTTAGTGATCTAGTGATCCTGAAATTAGAACAAGGCATCCACTTCCTGCTTACTTTGGTCTTTACATGTCTTTACCACTTACAGACCTCAAATATATGTGTTGAGTCACTTGGGTATTCCCATAACCTCTTCCAGCTGGTGACCCTGTTTTTGGACCCCGCTGGTCCACAGCGTCCAATACCTATAACCAACAAGAATGGGCATCATGGACCTGCGAATACGACTTGGAATTCCATAAAGTCGTCATGGCTATTTTCTGTTTTTTGCAGTTGAAAACTCAGTTTCTGGGTCAAAACCATTGCAAATAATAGTTGGTTTGCAAGGAACCAATGTTGAAACCCACTTCAACCGCGATTCCATGAATTTAATGTGTTGTAGTATGGTCTATCCTATTGGAAAATTGGCTGCCCATTAATTGGGGGGACCATACCCTATTCTCAGACACACACTCACACATTCCCCACATTACCCATAATTGCTGCTTGTCCCATTGTGTTAAATCCAATTAAATCTCCACGAAATCTCCATCAAAAAGCTTCTCTTGGTACTGATGGTATGATCTGCTCCTTGAAACTGGGTTGCACTGCCACTGCTGGCGGCAGCAGCGCCAGCCATGGCCACATGGCAAGAGTTGGCACTGACCCAGGGGTACCAATGTGCCCACTATGTTTGTCATGTGCTGTATATTTAAGCATCCATTTTCGGTGCTACATGGTTGCTAATTTTCAGCCATTCCTATTAGGCATCCCATAGATGACAGGGGCAACCAAGTGGCAGCAGAGGCCCCGGATCTGGTGATGTTTGTCTTTGGATCCAATTTGGAACAGGTTTATTGGATGGAAATATGCCCAAATGTTGCCATGTGGGCCTCACAATTGCAAACATACATATTTTGGCCTACACAAATATTGCAAACTGGACCTTGCAGTTCTTTTATTCTTTGGGGTGCGCCAAAAAATACTGAGCGCGCCCATACTCCTTTTTACTTGCAGATTTGCAAGCTCTAGGCCGCAACGCTGGAAGGCTGCCAATGGGAGAGGGATGGAGTCGGTATTTGTGGATCAATGGATTCAAAGCAAAAAAACATCATAGCAACCATGGGTTCCACCATCTATGTGAAAGCTTTCCCAAAAATCCCGTTTTTGGCCTGTTTGGGGATCCAGACCTCAACCATCATAGCAACCATCTTGTGGTTTTCGCAGGCTTATTCTCCAGTTTTCATGGTGACTAATCATATATTAGTTTTCAATGGTTTGATATGGTTTTCCTATCCTTTTACAAATATATTTGCTGATTTTTGCTTCATATAGTTTTACTGATTTAAATAGATGATGTAGATATCGATGTATATTTACATATACATAAATGTATATGATGGTTTATTCTCCAGTTTTAAGGTCATTACTTTATGATGACTATAAACTGAACCACCACGGTTTCGCAGGCCCAGCGGCCCAGCCCTTTCAAGCCTCGATATGATCCGGCCGGTAGAGACCTCGTAGAGCAGCAGGTATATGTATATTACCATATGTATGTCATATAATGTTGTAACCATGTTTATATATACATATATATATATATTATATATATATAATATGTATATATATACAATACATATATATATATATATACGTCAGATTTAAAAATATGAAATTCAGAATCGAGGTCGTGATTTGAACAAAAGTGTGATCCCGGTCATGGCCTCCAAGTAGCTCAGGTAAACGTTCCAAGCGCCCCCCCGGCAGAGCTACTCTTGCCTCGTGACTCGTGGATTTTTTCTGGCAGGGAAGCATCCAAACCAACAGGCATGGACAGGTCGGACAGGAGACATGAATGATTTTCATCATTGATATGAGTGGCCTTAAACTACTTCCGATTCCATGTTCTCCTATTTTGGCTGCCTAATTCCTCATTTGATGGGTCAAAACCTGCAAAAGGAGGGCCTCCTAGGGTTCCACGCAAAACATACAGTCATGTAAAAGCCATCAAAAAAGAAGAACTACTCTTCATTTCTGCATCAAAAGAAAAATCATAAATCAAATTGCTGGATCTATAGCAAATTACTTCGCCATTTGGGGGTTTCCCTAATCATGGGGATACCGATACCCATTTTTGGCTGGAGCTTCACCTCCCTTTCCATGGGCCGAAATGCGCCGCTTGAGGCTGACTTGGCCTGGCGATTCCCAAGCAAGTCTCAAATTTAGCCGCAAAGCCAGATGCTGATGCTGGAGACATTCATGGCAGTATGGGAAAAATGAGCAACGTTTCTATTGGAAACAGTTTTTTGATGTGTTTTTTGAACAGTCCGGAAGTTGTTTTCGGGAAAATTCAGGGATCCAAGCGTGCTGGCCATTGATTCCAAACATTTTGAAGGAGGAAGCCCCAATAATTACCAGTAGTGCCACACAAGGCGTTGGCGGAAGTTTCAAAAACAGGAAACCTATAGGAGAGGTTGGTTGCTGCGAATCACGGATGGCAGAGCGAATCCACTGATGGACCGAAGGTGGTTGAAGTTGTGTTTTTTGGAGTGGTTGCAATGGTTGCAGTGGTCACCTCACACACAACTGCTGGATGTAGTGTGGTGGAGTGCAGTTGTAGGTGTAGTTGTAGTTTGATGTAGTGGAGTTGTAGTTGTAATTTGTTGTAATGTGTAATAAGTGTAGTGTAGTTGCAGTTGTAGTTGTAGTTGTGGTGTGGTGTAATTTGTGTGGTGTATTGTAGTGTACTGTAGTGTTGTGTACTGTAGTGTGGTATAGTGTAGTGTAGTCTAGTGTAGTGTAGTGTAAGGTAGTGTAGTTGTAGCTGTAGTGTGGTGTAGTGTAATTAGTGCAGTGTCGTGTAGTGCAATGTAGCGGTAGTTAAAATTGTATACAGCGGCAGTTGTAGTTGTAGCTGTAGCGTAATGTAATGTAATTAGTGTAGTGTAGTGTTGTGTTGTGTGATGTAGTGTAGTTGCAGTTGCATTTGTATTTGTGGTTGTAGCGTACTGCAGTGTAATTAGCGCAGTGTAGTGTAATGTGGTGTAGTTGATATTGTTGTTGTAGCTGTGGTAGCTGTTGT